TGTACAGCCCTGAGGACAGCGTCTCGTCTGACTTGATTGAAGGCATTTTTGAAGTCAAGCTTTACTAGTGCCTTCTGGTCCGGGAGATCAACAATGTAAGCCCGCGCTGCATGTGCTGCAGCTTCACAACCTAGGGGAATCCCAAACCCGAGCTGATGAGGTTTCAGCAAGGTGGCTGCTTCCTGGCTGATAGATCTCACTGCAGCCTTAGCTACAAGGCGTCGGAGGGTGTTGCCAACGGCAATGGGCCTGATACCCCTATCCTTCTTCTTTAGAGCACAGAGTGCTGCTCCATAAAGACAGGCCTGATGTCCTCAGGGATGCCGCCAGCCAAACACATGTTGGAGAATCTGGTAAGTTCCACTAGAAGATCCTTTGCAGCATCTCCAAGCACCGGGTTCAGCATTTGTTTGATGTGCTGGGGTCTTAGGCCTGTAAGCCCCCTGCTGAACCTGTTGGGAAAGACATGGCTGCTTTGTACACCTCAGATTCTCGAACAGTCAAGGGTTCTATGCCAGCATTGTTTTCCTGGGGATCCCTGCTGCTGTCGGGGCTCTGGGTGGGTGTTTGTCTTGAAGAGCCTCTGCTGTCGTGGCGTTCCTGGGGGCAATAGTGTCATCGCTGGTCATGATTCTGATGGCACCTGTGGTATTGCCCTCTTCTATTTTCCTGGTGATCTGTGCTCTCATTTTGTGGTTCTCAGATGAGTTATTGTTGGTCGTCCTGCGGCTGATGTTCTTGGCACGAGGGGGGAGGCGGACCAGGTTGTCTGCTCTGGGAATTCATTAAGAGCTCTGATTACTGAGGTTGCTAATGACTTGTCTCTCCTGGGCGGTAATGCTAGGCATGCATTCCCAAATAGAAGGAGATTGTGCCATGCTCCAATGGTTCTAGGAGCATTGTTGACCTTTGTCAGCAGACTGGTGAGTTTGGCTGCTGCTTGATGACGGGCAGCCTTGGGGATGTGGGGCAAGGTCCTGGTGGACGTCGCTTTGATTGCTTCAAGCAGATTATCTGCTGAAATGAAGTTGAGGGAGGTATTGTTCCTCGCTCCTGCAGCAGGTTGTCCATCGTCATTGCCCCGGGGCAGGCGCCTAGACCCTAGACAACCACCTGAATTGAGAGAATGATAGCGGACAGTTCCATTTGAATTGAGACGATACCGTCTGTCACACACTTGACAGTTCCCTCTTGGGTGGCCATCTTCTTGGCTGGAAAGAGGCTGTGTGTCAGGTGCGACATGTGCCATGCCTATATATATATATATATATATATATATATATATATATATATATATATATATATATATACATTTATATATATATTTATATATATATATATATTATAATATGATCATACAGGGTCATGTGTAGTGGTTCAGCTGTGTCTGATCTTTCATTGTCGTTGGTATAATCCCATACCCTCTACAGCCCCGACAGGAAGCCCCTACACAGCCCCAACAGGAAGCCCCCCCACAGCCCCGACAGGAAGCCCCCCACAGCCCCAACAGGAAGACCCCCCCACAGCCCCAACAGGAAGCCCCCCCCCCCACAGCCCCAACAGGAAGCCCTCCCTCACAGCCCTGACAGTACAAACCTGCTGGACCAGCACACCGGTCCACGTACCCCTGATCCGACCTTCATCAATGACCGACTTGAACACAATTATCCGGTAATTTAAATACAGTACACACGCCGTTTAGCATACATGAATGGTGATTAGGGCTCGGAGCAGCCTCCCCTTGACCCAGCCTCATCCATAGTCTCCATCAAACTGGTCCGCTGACCTAACCATCACACGAGGGTGTTAGGTGGTGGTGGTGGTGGTGTTAGTGGTGTTGTTGGTGGTGGTGATTATGGTGACTGTGGTGGTGGTGGTGGTGTTGGTGGTGACAGTGGTGGTGGTGGTAGTGCTATTGGTGGTGGTGGTTGTGTTGTTGGTCGTGGTGGTGGTTGTGTTGTTGGTCGTGGTGGTGATTGTGGTGGTGGCAGTGAGAGTAGTTGGGTAGATTGTGGTGGGGGTGACAATGGTTATGTGATTGTGGTTGTGGTAGGGACTATAGTGATCAGGTGATTGTGGTGGTGGTGGTGGTGGGGGTGATAGTTGTTAGGGGATTGTGGTGGTGATGGTGGTAACAGTGGTTAGGTGATTGCGGTCGTGGTTGGGGTGATAGTGGTTAGGTAATTTGGGTGGTGGTGATTGTGGTGGTGATTGTTGTGGTGGGAATGATTGTGGTGATAGTGGCTGTGAGAGTGATAGTGGTTGATGTTATTGTGGAATATTAAACGAGTGAATAAAGTATATATATATACTCTTTGCTTTTCCTTGCAGGGAGAGTAATTTCCCCATGTGATAGAAGCACTTGTTTGATGCGTGTGTGTGTGTGTGTGTGTGTGTGTGTGTGTGTGTGTGTGTGTGTGTGTGTGCGTGTGTGTTTGTCATTACCTGTGTGTGTAGACACAAGATATGAGCTACGCTCTCACCTGTCCCGTCTTCCCAGTACGAGGAGGGGAAGGAGGAGGGGAAGGAGGAGGGGAAGGAGAAGGAGGAGGGGGGGGGGAAGGAGGAGGGGAAGGAGAAGGAGGAGGAGGAGAAGGAGGAGGGGAAATGGAGTACAGATTATGGTCTGGGGAGTCCCCATGAGAACAGGTCTCTCCCATTGTCGTGGACTTTCCGGTCTCTGGGAGAGATCATTCACACACCACCCGCGCTCAGAGTCCTTGTGGGGGACACCGCGGTAATAGTGACCATCACTTTATGAATACACATGTTCTCCACATGTTCTCTACATGTTCTCCATATGTTCTCCACATGTTCTCCACATGTTCTCCACATGTTCTCTACATGTTCTCTACATGTTCTCCATATGTTCTCCACATGTTCTCCACATGTTCTCCACATGTTCTCTACATGTTCTCCACATGTTCTCCACATGTTCTCCACATGTTCTCCACATGTTCTCTACATGTTCTCTACATGTTCTCCATATGTTCTCCACATGTTCTCTACATGTTCTCCATATGTTCTCCACATGTTCTCTACATGTTCTCCATATGTTCTCCACACGTTCTCCACATGTTCTCTACATGTTCTCCATATGTTCTCCACATGTTCTCTACATGTTCTCTACATGTTCTCCATATATTCTCCACATGTTTTCTACATGTTCTCCACATGTTCTCTACATGTTCTCCACATGTTCTCCACATGTTCTCTACATGTTCTCCACATGTTCTCTACATGTTCTCCACATGTTCTCTACATGTTCTCCACATGTTCTCTACATGTTCTCCACATGTTCTCCACATGTTCTCCACATGTTCTCCACACGTTCTCCACATGTTCTCCACACATTCTCTACATGTTCTCTACATGTTCTCCACACGTTCTCTACATGTTCTCTACATGTTCTCTACATGTTCTCTACATGTTCTCTACATGTTCTCTACATGTTCTCTACATGTTCTCTACATGTTCTCTACACGTTCTCTACATGTTCTCTACATGTTCTCCACACGTTCTCTACATGTTCTCTACATGTTCTCTACATGTTCTCTACATGTTCTCTACATGTTCTCCACATGTTCTCTACATGTTCTCTACATGTTCTCTACATGTTCTCCACATGTTCTCTACATGTTCTCCAAACGTTCTCTACATGTTCTCTACATGTTCTCCACACGTTCTCCACATGTTCTCCACATGTTCTCCACATGTTCTCCAAACGTTGTCTACATGTTCTCCACATGTTCTCCACACGTTCTCCACATGTTCTCCACACGTTCTCCACATGTTCTCCACACGTTCACCACACGTTCTCCACACGTTCTCCACATGTTCTCCACATGTTCTCCACATGTTCTCCACACGTTCTCCACAATGTTCTCCACACGTTCTCCACACGTTCTCCACACGTTCTCAGTGTTAACGAGATGATAAATTATGCAAAAAGGGCCTTGGGCTCACCATCAGCTTTGATCATTTACAACATTATTACACAGTGATATAATGACCAATAAAGATTATATTCATTTCAAAGTATTGTTTAATGTGTAAAGCAACGTTGTTGAACTTCACATCATATTCAAACTCTAGGATTCAGCTGTTAATTACACTTCCGTCATATGTTGAAATGTTTCCCCAGAATGATAATAGACCAAAGATTTGTTTCATAGGTTTCTTTTATGAAGTTTGATCATTTTTAGGATAGATCGATCTACTATTTCCACGTCGTCGCTTCTTCATCCTCTGGTGTGTGGGTTGGTTATCAGCTTAAGCTCCTCTATACATTTGTGATATATTGTAGTATCCCAATGAAATGTTTTGAATTTGATTATTTTAGATAATTTCATTGGTTTATACTGTCCTTGTTCTCCAGAATAAGGACTGTGTTAAAAATGTGTAAAGTGGCATACAAGCAACCAATGTTGGGGTCCTGTTCTTGAGCTATTCAAGTTAACTATGTAAACAAACTTGGGTCCCTATTATAGGGTTTTTGGTTGTGGTGGACGTATTGGCATGCCACAAAACTCCTCAGATCTCACACTTTGTGAAAATTTCTTTAAGTTCATGACAAACAAAATAAAAAATTATACCACACATTAATATCCTTGGGTTGGAAGAGCTACGATATCTGAGAACATCTACGATATCAAGGTCAGAACACCTCTTTACCAGTGATGTTCTGACCGTGTCTCACGGCAAGTATAAAAGTTATCATTCTCCTTAACAATTCCTGACCTACAACGAAAGGGAAAGAGGGGAATATGCTGAGTGAAAAAAAAATCAATATATTTTTGTTTTAATTTTAACGATGGACACAGACGTGGAACATCCTATAGCACTGGACATGATTCTGTGATGTTTGATTTTTTTTGTGTATTTCTTTAACGAGAAGAATTTGTGACGTAGCAGTAATTTCCTGGGAGTATATTCTGGTTTATGCTGGATATTACGTCGAAACTTTCCCAGTTGAAGTGGTAAGTCCCGTCCCAGCCTCCACCTCCTCTCATTCCCTTCAACACTCACGTCCAAACCACCGCTCCTGTCAGCTCACATTAACTTCTATCTTAAATCACAAGCTGTCTCTCACACACCGTCGAACTACAGACAGTATTTAAAGAAAAAAAGGAGAGAAAACGTCTACCTCTCGGGAACACGTATGAGAATTGTGTGAAGTAGTAAACAGATGGTTGAGAAACACGAGGAGACTGTGGCAAGCATCACTTTCCTACTTGCTGGGATAAAACCTGAAGTTTGCAGGTGATCCTGTCCACAGCCTCCAGTCACAAGGTACAGTCACCATCTCTCTCACAGTGTTCCTTCATGCCTACACGTGTGAGCCTCCAGTCACAAGGTACAGTCACCATCTCTCTCACAGTGTTCCTTCATGCCTACACGTGTGAGCCTCCAGTCACAAGGTACAGTCACCATCTCTCTCACAGTGTTCCTTCATGCCTACACGTGTGTTGTGTGAATCTCGACAGGTAGTAAGGCGTAAATAGAAATGTGAAAATGCCTAACTAAATGATAAAGCAGTGGGACGTACAGAGTAATAATAATAATGTAATACAGTGCAAGTCAAGGAATTTGTTGATGGTTAGTCTGGTCAAGTTACTAACTATCTAATGAAGAACGGTTTATAAATAGCGTAGTTACTGACGAACCAAGTCATTACTATCATTTATACTGCGAGTGGTGGCTCTTTACTTCAGAGCAAATGTCACGATATTCGTATTCAAGGTGTTCTTACAAATTTGTATTTGAATTGTGACCAATTTATATGGAGCATTATGTTGAGAAATTGTAAATATCAAATCATTTAAAGTCTGCCTTTTAAAGTGACTATCACACTCTTCACGAGGTGTTATTTAGATGATACAGCATACATATATATATATATATATATATATATATATATATATATATATATATATATATATATATATATATATATATATATATATATATATATATATATATATATATATATATATATATATATATATATATATATATATATATATATATATATATATATATATATATATGTCGTACCTAGTAGCCAGAACTCACTTTTTGGCCTACTATTCAAGGCCCGATTTGCCTAATAAGCCAAGTTTTCCTGAATTAATATATTTTTTCTAACTATTTTTTTTATGTATCTTATGAAATGATAAAGCTACCCATTTCGTCGACCAGGCCTTATGTATGAGGTCAATTTTTTTTTTTGGATTGGAGTTAAAATTAACGTAGATATATGACTGAACCTAACCTCCCGCCTGCGCTCAACCCTACCTAACCTAACCTAACCTACCTATCTTTATAGGTTAGGTTTGGTTAGGTAGCCGAAAAAGTTAGGTTAGGTTAGGTTAGGTAGGTTAGGTAGTCGAAAAACAATTAATTCATGAAAACTTGGCTTACTAGGCAAATTTGGCCTTGCATAGTAGGCTGAGAAGTGAGTTCTGGCTACTAGGTACGACATATATATATATATATATATATATATATATATATATATATATATATATATATATATATATATATATATATATATATATATATAGTATATTTTGGTAGCAGTCTTTCCTGTAGACTGCTATATATATATATATATATATATATATATATATATATATATATATATATATATATATATATATATATATATATATATATATATATATATATAAAACTTACGCTCTTTGACCCCTAAGAGGATTCGAACCCGGGCCGCCAGCGGCCTTCTCATCAACAGCATCAGTACTCTGACCACTGCACCAGCGATCATCTGCTTAATGACGGCTGGTGTTGAGGTCAGAGTACCAGAGCTGTTGATGGGAAGACCTCTGGTCACCAGGGTTCGAACCCATAACTGAGCACCTTCGTGAGTGTTTCAAGACTCTCTTAGAATGGAATGTGACATATGACTGGTGCCACATTTGGCACTTGAAATTGCCATAGATGTCATGTTAACGCGCCATAGTTAAAGCCAATATAACAAGAAAATAATAACCTCGATCACCTTCATAAGGCACTGCGGGCTCACCATAGCCCGTGCTACTTGGAACTTTGTACCAGGTGGCGAGTCTTTAACAACAACAGCAACTCGATCACCTTCGCAAATTTGCCCCAATAAATCTGGTCATTTGTAAACATGCGGGAAACACTTGAATGGAAGAATTTTTTTAGAGGCTCTTGACCCCAGTCCGACACAGCTGTGACCTTATATTTTACTTGACTACAGGTCGCAGCAGCAGCGGTGGACATCGACGACATGAAGACACTGACTGCTGTGGCTGCTGTGCTGACCGTGGCGTCAGCACGCGCGGGCTACCATCACGCAGATCAAAGATCCGTTGGCAGTGGTAATAACCTCGAATGTTTCTCGTCCAGCGTGTGTAAGCGCATTAAGATTATAAGCATAACCATTATGAGGCAGAGTGGAAATTAGCCGTGCCTGCTAAACTCCCGTGTTCCAGCAGGCGCCTGGATGGTGTTCCAGCAGGCGCCTGGATGGTGTTCCAGCAGGCGCCTGGATGGTGTTCCAGCAGGCGCCTGGATGGTGTTCCAGCAGGAGCCTGGATGGTGTTCCAGCAGGCGCCTGGATGGTGTTCCAGCAGGCGCCTGGATGGTGTTCCAGCAGGCGCCTGGATGGTGTTCCAGCAGGAGCCTGGATGGTGTTCCAGCAGGAGCCTGGATGGTGTTCCAGCAGGAGCCTGGATGGTGTTCCAGCAGGCGCCTGGATGGTGTTCCAGCAGGAGCCTGGATGGTGTTCCAGCAGGCGCCTGGATGGTGTTCCAGCAGGCGCCTGGATGGTGTTCCAGCAGGCGCCTGGATGGTGTTCCAGCAGGCGCCTGGATGGTGTTCCAGCAGGCGCCTGGATGGTGTTCCAGCAGGAGCCTGGATGGTGTTCCAGCAGGCGCCTGGATGTTGTTCCAGCAGGCGCCTGGATGGTGTTCCAGCAGGCGCCTGGATGGTGTTCCAGCAGGAGCCTGGATGGTGTTCCAGCAGGAGCCTGGATGGTGTTCCAGCAGGCGCCTGGATGGTGTTCCAGCAGGCGCCTGGATGGTGTTCCAGCAGGAGCCTGGATGGTGTTCCAGCAGGCGCCTGGATGGTGTTCCAGCAGGCGCCTGGATGGTGTTCCAGCAGGCGCCTGGATGGTGTTCCAGCAGGCGCCTGGATGGTGTTCCAGCAGGAGCCTGGATGGTGTTCCAGCAGGAGCCTGGATGGTGTTCCAGCAGGAGCCTGGATGGTGTTCCAGCAGGCGCCTGGATGGTGTTCCAGCAGGCGCCTGGATGGTGTTCCAGCAGGCGCCTGGATGGTGTTCCAGCAGGCGCCTGGATGGTGTTCCAGCAGGCGCCTGGATGGTGTTCCAGCAGGAGCCTGGATGGTGTTCCAGCAGGCGCCTGGATGGTGTTCCAGCAGGCGCCTGGATGGTGTTCCAGCAGGCGCCTGGATGGTGTTCCAGCAGGAGCCTGGATGGTGTTCCAGCAGGAGCCTGGATGGTGTTCCAGCAGGCGCCTGGATGGTGTTCCAGCAGACACATGAATGCTGCTTATAATACTAGAGGTGTCCCCATATACACTCAGAATTCACTTGTTGCTTGTAGTAAGTTCAGGACTGAAATACATACTTGAGGGTCCTTATTCGGACCCTCCGACGATTGTCAGATCTTAGGCCCAGGGGGCCAAACCAGCTAACCAGATAGATTTCTAAAGTTTGCTTTGTGTTAATTTTGTGATGAATTGTGTATTGTGACGACAGGCGGATGGTGCTCCACCCCGGGGGACTCCTGTGTGCCGCTGACCAGCTGTCCGGCCCTGCTCGCCCTCACTAAGGTTGCCACCAAGAAAGATCTTCAAACGCTTCGGTTGGCTCAATGCAGCAGTTACTCGTCTCATGTCATGGTGAGTTGAGGATAGATCCAAGGACAGAGAGACAGACAGACAGACAGACAGACAGACAAAGATGGGATACAACCAAACAGATTAACAGGTTGTCGTTACACTAAGGCTTGCATAACTACCTATACGTTTGTCAGTCTTAAGGAGAAGATGCTAACCAAAATACGATATGAACATAATACACATTAAGTGAACAGCATCAATAACGTCAAGTAAAGGAATAAAGCACCAGTAAGATAAGAGGAAGTCATACACACACATAGAAAAAAAACATGTATACATCAATGATTTTTAAATGGATGACTTATCATAATTATTCACTGAATGAACTCATGTGAAATGCCATCTCTCCACCCCCCCCTCACACATACCTTCTGCAGGTGTGTTGCAACCCTTCAGCGCCTCCTGCTACTACTACCACACCTCCAACCACCACCACGAAACGCCCTATGCAGCCCACTAAGCCCGCCCCAGTCCCGGGACCCGGAGGAGGAGAGGCCCTTCTGCCAGCAACCTGCGGCCAACCTATCGCCACAGAGGGAGTTCGAATCTACTTCGGGGAAAACGCTCACCTAGGCGCCTTCCCTTGGATGGCCTTGCTTGGATACCGATGTGAGTGATTCAACTTTTATGTGAGTGTGAGGGGAAACTTGGCTTTTGTACGTGTTTGGAATTACTGCGTGGATGAATGCCGTTATTATATCAGACCCTAGAAAGTGAAGAGACGAAGACATTTCGGTCCGTCCTCGAACATTCACACAATCGATTTGATAATGGTCCAGGACGGACCGAAACGTCGTCGTCCCTTCACCTTCTAGTGTGTGGTTTGGTCAACATATTTCAGCCACGTTATTGTGACTTCTCCTCTGCATTATTATATCAGTTTTGTCTGTGAATGGTATGATTATACATTCCCATTGCTGCATGGATTATTGATAAATATACTACAAGGATGTATATACTGTATACGAAAAACATATTGAAGTAACTTGACAGTTATACTTTTCTGTATAGCAACCAAACTACATTTTAGGAACAATATGTATGTATTATCACTGATGTTCAGTAAGACTAATTATGAACTCAATTATTTGTAATTAACACCAAATTCTTGAATACGAAAATGATCAACAAATTATACCTTGAAAACAGAGCAGGTGTACTATTCAGCTGCCCTCGGCACCTCATTTCTCAAAAGAACACATATAAACACCTAGTGGAAAATCCTCGATCACAAGAGGCCTTTCCACTGAGTCATTCAAAACGGATATGATGATATTTTTGGTTCAATGTCTTAGACAATTCATTGAAAAAAATCAAAACAGGGGATTGTGTAGAAAATCTTTAGCTGTGTGAAGATATACTTGTAACGCTACACTTAACTAATTTAATATACCTGCTGGTACAGCTAGTACTGGGGACCTAGGCTGGTTGTGTGGAGGAGTCCTCATCACTAGCCAATACGTCCTAACGGCCGGACACTGTGTTAGTCCGCAGTTCACCTCCAACAGGACTTTGTGAGTACTGGTTTTGGTCGTCTAACATGTGAGTACTGATCTTGGTCGCCTAACATGTGAGTACTGATCTTGGTCGTCTAACATGTGAGTACTGATCTTGGTCGTCTAACTTGTGAGTACTGATCTTGGTCGTCTAACATGTGAGTACTGATCTTGGTCGTCTAACTTGTGAGTACTGATCTTGGTCGTCTAACATGTGAGTACTGATCTTGGTCGTCTAACATGTGAGTACTGATCTTGGTCGTCTAACATGTGAGTACTGATCTTGGTCGTCTAACATGTGAGTACTGATCTTGGTCGTCTAACATGTGAGTACTGATCTTGGTCGTCTAACATGTAAGTACTGATCTTGGTCGTCTAACATGTGAGTACTGATCTTGGTCGTCTAACTTGTGAGTACTGATCTTGGTCGTCTAACTTGTGAGTACTGATCTTGGTCGTCTAACATGTGAGTACTGATCTTGGTCGTCTAACATGTGAGTACTGATCTTGGTCGTCAAACATGTGAGTACTGATCTTGGTCGTCTAACATGTGAGTACTGATCTTGGTCGTCTAACATGTGAGTACTGATCTTGGTCGTCTAACATGTGAGTACTGATCTTGGTCGTCTAACATGTGAGTACTGATCTTGGTCGTCTAACATGTGAGTACTGATCTTGGACGTCTAACATCTTTACCACCACGTTCTCAGTGTTCCATCTGGTTAATATTGATATATTAAACACTCTAAAACTGTGGCTAGCATTATTATTATACGTGCATATTATACATAACATGTATAATACACAGGTATAATACATAACATGTATAATGGTATGCATAAAACTTCGGAAATATCACCGTCAACACAATAACTATAAACTAGTGTGAATTAATTACAAATAACAAGATGATTATGAATTAAGATCGGAATTATATCACTGATAGTAAAATAATAATAATAATAACAATGATAATAATACCTATATTGCGGAGTTGGAATTGAAGAAGGGGGAGCTGTCCTAACTCATTGGTTCCTTGCCCAGGGTGACCATCCGCATTGGCGAACATGACCTGACCAAGGAGCCGGACTGTGAGGTCAGGTGTGCCCCGCCCACGCAGAACCTGGCGCCAGGCGCCATCATCGTCCACCCGACCTTCAACAAGCGGGGCGCCGTCAGCGATGACATTGCTCTCATCAAACTGGAGAGACATGTTCAGTTTACAGGTATGTGTAGCGTTGGGTGTACCGTCTCACAGCGGTGGTGGGTGTACCGTCTCACAGCGGTGGTGGGTGTACCGTCTCACAGTGGTTCTGTCCTCCATGGACAGAGTTAGAGAGCTGCTTGACTATATAAATATACACAATTTTGTCTGTCCTCTGTAGTCAAGGCTGGGATAGACGACCGCTCTGAAACGAAGAATATTTCAACCAAAGTTATTTTCAATGCTGCCTCTGACGAATAATTAGTTCCGGTCCAACACAAATACATTCGGTATAGCTAATTCAGTCTTTTCTGCAGACTATGTTCAACCTATCTGCCTGCCTGCCGCTGGCCAAGCCCCGCCCTCGCAGGCTGTTGTGGCTGGCTGGGGAGAGACCCAGAACGGAAGCCAATCAGACGTGCTGCAGAGGGTGGTGCTGCCGCTAGCCAGCGTGGAGGTGTGTAACCCACACTATAAGAACGCGCTCCTCGCCGAACAGGTGAGTCTCTTCATTTATTTATAAATAAATAAATAAATAAATGTTTATTCAGGTAAAGAACATACATACAAGAGGTTATACAAAAATTGATGGATTTATAGATAGAGCTAGTACATACAATGCCTAAAGCCACTATTACGCAAAGCGTTTCAGGCAGCTATTTCGTGAGTTTCGGGCAATTCTATTTCGTGAGTTAACTGTAAACCCACGACTCGTAAGAGTTTTATATGTGAGAGTAAACTTGGTTGTCCTTGACCCCTTCCATGTTGACGGTTAAGTAAACCAAATACGTCATTTTCTCACAAAGTCATCCAGGTAAACGTTCTTTGGAGAATATTTAAATAAGTTTGCTATTCATCACGTTAAGTAAAAAATTGATTTATTACGTCCCTATTTTTTAAATTTGGAAATGTTCACTGAATTAGAATTGACATGATGTTGATTTATCAGTTTTTTCTAAATAACTGAAAACATATGAGAAGAAAAAACGTAAGCATATATATATTCTTTGATCATACTCTTCATGTTCTTCACTGTATTCTTGTCCCCTCAAGACACTGTTTTCCTCCGTCTGGCAGATATGTTTTGGAGGAGCCAGTATGATGGATTCTTGCTTCGGGGATTCCGGAGGTCCACTCTTCAGCACCTCAACCAAACCCAACCTTCTGGTAAGATAATGTGAGGCTCTCATTGTGGGTTGTTTCGTGGTAATTGGGCGCTAGAATTGAGGCCTTGCTTCTTGCAGGGTCGGCGTTCGACTACGATTCCTAAGTGGTTGGTCAGCATTCCTTTACTTCTTCATATTCCAGTTCATAGTCAGTGCTCAGATTCCTTCCAAGTGCCGTATAACACTGGCATAACGTCTTCACTTCATATTGGACTTTACCTTTGTGAGTGTGCAGTGTGTACAGTGTGATGATCTTATATTATTTCTCACGTGTGCTTCCGGTGGTTCAGTCGCTACGGGAATATGTGACAGTGTGTTACTGTCAGTGTGGACTGTGTTACAGTCAGTGTGGACTGTGTTACAGTCAGTGTAGACCTGTGTTACAGTCAGTGTGGACTGTGTTACAGTCAGTGTAGACCTGTGTTACTGTCAGTGTAGACCTGTGTTACAGTCAGTGTGGACTGTGTTACTGTCAGTGTAGACCTGTGTTACTGTCAGTGTAGACCTGTGTTACTGTCAGTGTAGACCTGTGTTACTGTCAGTGTAGACCTGTGTTACAGTCAGTGTGGACTGTATTACCGTTAGTGTGAGGAGTTACTAAGCCAGGTAACCCTATACACACTTGACTCTATCTCCTCCCATCTGTCTATATAGCCGTAATGCCTTAGTATTTTCCCCTGATGAATACCTCATATCTCTCTCTCTTTCTCCAGGTTGGCATAGTGTCCTACGGCAGCCCAACGTGTGGTGTGGTGGGGGTCCCAGGCGTCTATACCAAGGTCTCCGCCTACAGGAGCTGGATTATCAGCAACCTAACACCATAACTGGCCACCATAGCGAACACCACGGTACATGACATCATATCTGGCCACCATACTGAGCATCACGGTACATGACATTATATCTGGCCACCATACTGAGCATCACGGTACATGACATTATATCTGGCCACCATACTGAGCATCACGGTACATGACATTATATCTGGCCACCATACTGAGCATCACGGTACATGACATTATATCTGGCCACCATACTGAGCATCACGGTACATGACATTATATCTGGCCACCATACTGAGCATCACGGTACATGACATTATATCTGGCCACCATACTGAGCATCACGGTACATGACATTATATCTGGCCACCATACTGAGCATCACGGTACATGACATTATATCTGGCCACCATACTGAGCATCACGGTATATGACATCACAGTAAACCAGGCCTGAACAGAGCGACTACAAGACGTGTACAAACTGAGAGCAGTTCTTAAGAGCAAGAGCAGGTCATCTTAGGGATGCTGAGGTACGGGTGTTGCAGGGCTCTCAACCCTAACACACACACACACACACACACACACACACACACACACACACACACACACACACACACACACACACACACACACACACACACACACACACACACACACACACACACAAGGTAATATTAACCTGTATGTTGAGTGTCAACACGGGACCATTAATTATCATTACAATAAAAATTATCATCGCCAAGCAGTAATTATTCATAAAGTATATCCTCACTCTAAGCGCCCCCTTTCCCTTCTTCCCAGCACCCCTTCGCCTTCCAGCGTCTCCCGTCCTTTCCAGCGCCCCCTTTCCTTCCTTCCAGCGCCCCCTTCTCCTCCTTCCAGCGCCCCCTTCCCTTCCTTCCAGCGCCCCCTTCCATTCCTTCCAGCGCCCCCTTCTCTTTCTTCCAGCGCCCCCTTCCCTTCCTTCCAGCGCCCCCTTCTTCAGCGCCCCCTTCCATTCCTTCCAGCGCCCCCTTCCCTTCCTTCCAGCGCCCCCTTCCCTTCCTTCCAGCGCCCCCTTCTCCTCCTTCCAGCGCCCCCTTCCCTTCCTTCCAGCGCCCCCTTCCCTTCCTTCCAGCGCCCCCTTCCCTCCTTCCAGCGCCCCCTTCCCTTCCTTCCAGCGCCCCCTTCCCTTCCTTCCAGCGCCCCCTTCCATTCCTTATAGCGCTCCTCTCCCTCCCTAGCCCCACCTCACCACCCATAGAGGAGCACAGCGAGGAACGAGTGACTGGAACACAAACACGCGGGCCCTGAAGAAGAGTGTTGGGAGTGGCTCCGTCAACATTGGTTTACACTTCTCCAGCAATTTACCTGGCAAGTTGTCGTGTCAACAACGCTGCGGCAACAGTCAACTTCTATCGTCTCTTGAGATCAACCAAATTCCTCTTTCCAATTCCGGGTTTGATTTTGATTTTGGTGGAGTTTTTAAGTTTCTTATCGATTTTTCGTGGCTACCATTTTTAATATATATATATATATATATATATATATATATATATATATATATATATATATATATATATATATATATATATATATATATATATATATATATATGTCGTACCTAGTAGCCAGAACGCACTTCTCAGCCTACTATTCAAGGCCCGATTTGCCTAATAAGCCAAGTTTTCCTGAATTAATATATTTACTATATTTTTTTTCTTATGAAATGATAAAGCAACCCTTTTCTCTATGTATGAGGTCAATTTTTTTTTATTGGAGTTAAAATTAACGTAGATATATGACCGAACCTAACCAACCCTACCTAACCTAACCTAACCTATATTTATAGGTAAGGTTAGGTTAGGTAGCCAAAAAAAGCTAGGTTAGGTTAGGTTAGGTAGGTTAGGTAGACGAAAAAACATTAATTCATGAAAACTTGGCTTATTAGGCAAATCGGGCCTTGAATAGTAGGCTGAGAAGTGAGTTCTGGCTACTAGGTACGACATATATATATATATATATATATATATATATATATATATATATATATATATATATATATATATATATATATATATATATATATATATATATATATATATATATATATTGCAATTTGCAAAATACATTGCCATTTGACAAAATAAATAGGAAAACGATTGACTTGACAAACATCTTGTTCGAATTCTTTACTTTTTTAATTATACTTTATGAACTTTTGTGCAATAATGGAATCATTATATGTCGGAGCTGCGGCCGCTGCTAAATAATAATGTTTCATCTGCTCAATTGTACACTGTGTAAATCACAGTAGTCTTTGGTTTCAACTTATTTTCCCCAAGTTGATTTCATTATAAATATATGTTTTAGTTCCCCCTGATTAGTGTCTTTGATACTCATTTTGAGTGATGACTGATCTCATAGTTTTACTGTTTAATTAGAACAATTAGTATAACTCTTGATGCTAAGTGTTGTATAATTATTTATGTATTTTAAGATTTATAACGATTAACCTACAAGTTGGTTTAATTGGTTTGTCTTTGTATAAGATTTTTCTAATCTTTGGGTTTATAATTGTAATTTCGAATTAGTGTTTGGTATCGATGTTGAGAACTATCAATTAGAAGTTTACGTAAGTTTTGAATTTTGTTGTATTATGTAACTAGTGCCATATTTTATTTCGAGTTTTGTAATACGTGTCACTGCACAGAATGAGTTCTTTATTATGCTGGTTAGTTTGTATTTTAGCATTTGTGCTTTCAGATCTGATGACGAATACAGAGGTATTCAAAACGTCATTTATATATATATATATATATATATATATATATATATATATATATATATATATATATATATATATATATATATATATATATATTACAAGTAGCTACCATATAGCTACACACTCAGATCTTATCCAAGTGCATTTTGTCTTTGATTCAAAATAGTGAAACTAATCTACCTTTTGCCGTTGGACTTACCCTGAGCCGTTCTCACAAATAATCCTGCCTTACCAGCGCCGCTGTGAACGCCAGAGTTCACAGCGGTGAAACAAGATGAACGAACCGTGACCTGCTACTGGGGGGGGGGGGGGAGTTCTTATAAAACTTGGGCCAAGTCATCGAGTTTGGCTGCGTAAAAGTTGTCGCTCTCGGCCGAGCGAGAAATTTTTACGGGCGAGTTGCACGAGTCATCCCTAAACTTTCCGAGCAGAGAATCTTCTCAAAAAGTTCTAAACCCTTGTTATTCACACACCTGTAATATTATTTGGGCCAGAAGTTGTTTGGCTTATAAATGTGCGGGGTTGCTTTAGTTCTGAAATATTATGACTGAAATTTTGCCTTGTTTAATGTTAACCAAAAAATTTACAATTGGGCATCGATTTAATTGTTTGTTAGTCTGGCTGCTCGTCTATAGTTTCTCATTCATCTTGTTTCTCATCATTTGTCTTTCTCGTCCATTTTCTTTCACGTTCATTTTCTTTCTTATCCATTTTCTTTCTCGTTCATTTTATTTCTTATCCATTTTCTTTCTCATCCATTTTGTTTTTCATCCATTTTCTTTCTCGTCCATTTTCTTTCTCGTCCACTGTCTTTCTCATTACTTTCTTTCTCATCCATTTTCTTTTCTCATTCATTTTCTTTCTCAATCATTTTCTTTCTCTCCCTTTTCTTTGCTCTGAAGCACTGGAACTCTTCGGACGATTCTTCCAGCTCACCGTCCTAAGGCGACCGCACGAAGCTGCTTCATGCGGGATTGAAGAGCAGAAAGTTGCATTTGTTGGTGTAGAATTTCTGCCGTCTTCCTCGGGAGTAAAGTTCAACATTGGGATCAGAATATAGGAGATTTTGCGTGAGTTTTCCTGTGTGTGTGTTGCCATTTGTCCTGGAATTATGCTTGTTGGAAAGTGCTTGGGATATGAGAACAAAGAGCTGAGATATACGAATAATGAACTGGGATATGAGGACAAGGAACTGGAATGTGAGGATAAGGAGCTGGGATATGAGGAGTTGGGATATGAGGACAAAGAGCTGGGATATATGGAAAATGAACTTGGATATGACGACAAGGAGCTAGGATATGAGGACAAGGAGCTGGCTTATGAGGACAAGGAGCTGGAATATGAGAACAAGGAGCTAGAATATCAGGATAAGGAGCTGGGATATACGGATAATGAACTGGGATATGAGGACAAGGAGCAAGGATATGAGGGACAAGGAGCTGGGATATACGGATAATTAACTGGGATATGAGGACAAGGAGCTGGGATATGAGGACAAGGAGCTGGGATCCGAGGACAAGGAAGCAAAGTCGATAGAGTCGAGGAAGGCAAAGTTACCGCTGCTGAAAATAACTTCAGTCAAAGTGAAATTTAATTCAGCTTTTCGCCAAATCAAACTCAAAATAAGTAAGGGTGTCAGGCGGGCTCCCGCAGCGACCGAGTTATCTTCTAAATAACACTGATAATACATATTGGTGTTATCGGAAGCTCAAAAGAGCCCGGAGTTGTTTAGCACGTAATGAAAATTGCCTCGATTTAACCTTGAATGAACATGACAACAAACGCAGGGTTTGGGGCCACGTCTGGGGTAGTGAAGGAAGGGAGGCTGCTGAAGTTCTGAAATTGCCTGCGGACTGAAATTACACAAAATGCGGTCGTTTGGGGAGCTCATGAGCCTCCAGAGAAGCAGCTGTGCACATTAGGATTGTGCAAAATGCCAAAGTCGTGCACAGGTATCAATCTTTCAGCATTTGAATGTTCAGTCATACTGGTTTATAATTTCTCGGATGATTCTTTGAAGCTCGATTTGTTGTTTTTAAGATTAGAAGCCCTTGGGGAGTTGGAGGTTCGAGGCTTGTCTTCAGATCAGTATGGGGATGGCATTCGTGTTAAGGGCTTCAGGCCCAAGCTGGTGGTGTCATTCAGGTCTGTGTGAGTGTCATGGGGCTATGTTCGCTTGGTGTCACCAGGCACTTGGTGCCACCAGGCTGTCGCCTCACCAGGTGACCCTGGCCGTCGCCTCACCAGGTGACCCTGGCCGTCGCCTCACCAGGTGACCCTGGCCGTCGCCTCACCAGGTCCACCAGGTTGGTGCCACCAGGCTATCGCCTCACCAGGTGACCCTGGCCCTCGCCTCACCAGGTGACCCTGGCCCTCACCTCACCAGGTGACCCTGGCCGTCGCCTCACCAGGTGACCCTGGCCGTCGCCTCACCAGACATCTTGTCAAGGTTCCGAGTCGTCTGGTCGTCCGGTTCCATCTTGAGCGTCGTTTGGAATCGAATCAAATTAAAACTTTCTGAGGCATTATCCAGTTTCCGTGATCAATCTCAATCATGTCGCTTTAAGACTGAGCCAATTTTCCTATTATATACATAGCCGATTTATCTTCCTTTTCCGTGTATATACGCCGACAGTTTTCTTTTTTGAGAACTGTGATAGGAACTATAGTAAACTTAGTGATTGACTAGTAAACTGTTGTGGTGAGCATAATCACAAACATACATTATAAGATTTTGTCTTGAAATGAGTCCAATTTGCTGTTTATTTTAGTTAATCGTTACTTTTCAATCCCTTGGACCACTGGAGACTCGAACACGGGACCACAAAAGCGGCAGACCGTACTCCTACCAACCTGACTACTATGACACCCACAATAAGGAAGGCTCCCAACGCTGTTATCAGAGGCATGACTCTCATGGCGATAATCTCACAGCACACAGCATGTTATACTGTGTTCTCAGCACTGTGGTAAAGGTCGTTCTGCTGCTGTGTTTTAGTCGAACCTCTCCTCGTTGGTGTTATTTGGGGGGGGGGGGGAGGAGGGTGCAAGGAACGGCCAGGGGGCCAGATTCACGAAGCAGTTACGAAAGCACTTACGAACCTGTCCATCTCAATCTTTGGCGGCTTTGTTTACAATTATTAAACAGTTAATGAGCTCCGAAGCACCAGGAGGCTGTTTAAAACAATTACAACCGCTGACCAGACCACACACTAGAAGGTGAAGGGACGACGACGTTTCGGTCCGTCCTGGACCATTCTCAAGTCACAATCGACTTGAGAATGGTCCTGGACGGACCGAAACGTCGTCGTCCCTTCACCTTCTAGTGTGTGGTCTGGTCAACTTACTTTAGCCACGTTATTGTGACTCATCGCCTGCAATAACAAGTGCTGATTGGCAAGTTTTCATGCTTGTAAACTGTTTAATAAATGTAACCAAAAATCGTCAAAGATTGAGGACAGATGTCCACGTTCGTAAGCACTTGCGTAACTGCTTCGTGAATCCGGGTCTAGGTTTTTAGTGTGTTTGGAGGAGAAAACCCCGAGACGACTGACTTGTTGATTTGCTATGGGACTAAAGCATGGGGCAACTTGCTTGTTAGTGTGATTGCCATGGGAGAGAAGCATGGGATGGTCTGGCTGTTAGGGTGCTTGCCATGGGAGTGCAACATGGGACATACGACAAACGTTCTGGATTTAAATCCGAAGCTGGAGAATTTATTTGGTTGTGCACTTCAATTACGTAAATAAACAGGGCTACTGTGATGCATTGCACGGTATATCTGGGCGAGTGTCGCAATATCAATGACATCAGCGCCTGCTGAAAGTGACATCCCCCTGTTGCACTATTATTGGCACTCTTTTGCAATATTATTGGGAGCCGGTCGGCCGAGCGGACAGCACGCTGGACTTGTGATCCTGTGGTCCTGGGTTCGATCCCAGGCCCCGGCGAGAAACAATGGGCAGAGTTTCTTTCACCCTATGCCCCTGTTACCTAGCAGTAAAATAGGTACCTGGGTGTTAGTCAGCTGTCACGGGCTGCTTCCTGGGGGTGGAGGCCTGGTCGAGGACCGGGCCGCGAGGACACTTAAAAAGCCCCGAAATCATCTCAAGATAACCTCAAGATAACCCTGTTGCAATATTATTGGCACTCTTTTGCAATATTATTGACACCTGTGTCAATATTGTTGGCACCCTGTTGCAGTATTATTGACACCCTGTTGCAATATCGCTCTGTACATGAGAGCAAGAGAGAGTTAAATACTTTATACTGACTAGTCCGCTGCGATAGCATTTCAAAAAGAACAATTTTGTTATGTTCTCATATTGTTTGTATAACACACACACTATATTCCGTTTGGCGTCATATAGTGTTACGTTGATTGTGTGTGTGTGTGTGTGTGTGTGTGTGTGTGTGTGTGTGTGTGTGTGTGTGTGTGTGTGTGTGTGTGTGTGTGCCTGTGTGTGTGTGTAATTACCTAAGTGTAGTTACTGGATGTGAGCTACCCTCGTGGTGTCCTGTCTTCCCAGCACTCTTTGTCATATAAAAGTGTGTGTGTGTGTGTGTGTGTGTGTGTGTGTGTGTGTGTGTGTGTGTGTGTGTGTGTGTGTGTGTGTGTGTGTGTGTGTGTGTGTGTGTGTGTGTATTTACTATTTGTATCTGCAGAATCGAGCTATTAGCTCTCGGACCCCGGCCTTTCTAACCAATTTATTTTTGCTCTATATCTGTTACATATATTCCTCTTAAATATATACACACACACACATACATCCTCAGGATGCAACGCTTAACAGCCGTACACAAACAGTCGCAAGCTTGGCCGGTCAACGCTAAGCTGAAGATGGCAGAACACACTTGAACAGAGATAACGTGGCGATAAGACATTCGACGTTGATAGATAAGATGTTTTGATTTGGAAATAGATAATTTGACAGTTAAGCATGAGAAATTACACCGGGTTTGGAACAGATTCTCGACACAGACGTAATTGGAGAGAATTAGACACCACTAACGATCTAACGATCATTACACAATACAAACGATCTCACAGGACCTGCGATCTCCTCACAGGACCTACGATCTCTTAACAGGACCTACGATCTCCTCACAGAACCTACGATCTCTTAATAGGACCAAACCACAACTAGAAAGTGAAAGGACGACGACGTTTCGGTCCGTCCTTGACCATTCTCAAGTCGATGAGAATTATTTCCAATCTGGAAATATCACAGAAAGTGACAGGGAGATCTGTGAAGAACTCGACATCAGATTCCATGAGATCTTCAAGACTGAGCTAGACAGGAGGGCTGATATCAGGGACTGAGTTAGAGGAGGGCTGATTAGTGAAGGGTGAAAACTATTTGGATGATTTAACAGTAACCGAAAATCAAAGAAACCTTTGGAAAAACTAGATTTAAGCCAAGCATTTGGATCAGACCGAATGTTTCCTTGGATACTAACTACATCATCACAATATTACATATATATGTATATACTAGATGGGGGTACCCGGCGGGGCCCGGGACTCTCTCTCCCCCTCTCCTGTCATCATCTTTTCCCTTTCTGTCCACTTCTCTCCTGTTTCTTCTCCTATCCCCTCACTCTCCTCCCTTCTTTATGATGTCCTGACTATTCAGGATGACGTTGTGGACTATTGAGTGTTTTTTGGGTCCTCCTCCCTGTGAGAGACGCCAACTCAGGACATTAGCAGAGCGCTCCATGTTGCATGTGTTGCGACGCACACAGCCTGCAAGATTACAATTATATTCACATTCTACATTAATACACTTTAGCTTATCAGAGGAGGCGGAAATGTGGGTTTCCATAATAAGTGAAGCTGGACAATGTTGCAATAAATGATAGGACAAAATCTAGTGTATTCTCTACAGGGCTTACAATTCCTGTCAATTATATCCTAAATGCCTCTGCATCCCTTTTGCAGGCTTGCGTAGAGGTGTCGATTATTCCCAGAATAGTCGGCACCCCGCTGAGCATCAGATATCTGGCAGCGGCGTGATTGTAGCACCTAAACGTGATGTACGACAATTACACAATATAAACACCCACGAAGCATCCATGGAGACTCAAATAATCCGTTTGGGATTATTTCAATCTCCAAAACGGGCTTTTTAACACTGACCTATAGAGGTCCCCTCACTAACCAACACATTCCGGATGCTTTTCAAGAAGCAGGCGATGCGATACTGTAAACACTGGCGAGGAACAGATTACAGATGTTCATATCAACAGCATACGGCAAGGTGTGTGGCTGGGTGGGTGGGGAGGCGACTCTCTCTCTCCACCGCCAAGGTTAGTGTCCCGCCAGAGTCCGTCTGGGCTCGAGCACGTCCTTGTTCCGGTGTGGCTGACTGCTGGAGGGGACGCTTCCTCACCAGTCTTGATTGTGTCACAAAGATGGAGGTGCAGGAAAGCACAAACAAGAAAACGTGAGTAACTTTGATAGATATATACGCTCGTATTCTCCTGCTCATCTCCCACACTCTAGGGAGATGAGCAGACGACGACGACGACGACGTTTCGGTCCGTCCTGGACAATCGACTTGATATTGGTTCTGGACGGACCGAAAACGTCCTCTTCTCATTTTTTGTAGTATGGTTTAGTTGTTATATCTTCAAGCCACGGTATTGTGACTCATCGTCTGCAGGTACGCTCATTAAAACAAACACACGTCCATACATACACTCAATAAACAAACACCTCCATACAGGCGCGCTTGCTTTGTTTGCACGGTCCCCCCAACTTGCTCCTCTATTGCTCACGTCCACTAATATCAACCCCAATATCTTATTCATACTTCTAACGTAACTTAATCACGTATTTGAGGTAACTGAAAGTAAGTTTCACGTAATTAGCTACAAATGTAATGTGGTGAATGCTTTACGTATTTAATGCATAAGCTTGTGTTAAATAAGGCTGGGCGACCCAGTTTGGGAGTTGATAATGTGGTGGTAGGCACTCCGTCACCGGCTGCAGCTCGGGGTATTAGGTCCGTATTGAATTAGTTGAACATAAACACGAGAGATATTTCCGTGCCATGTCTGGCCTGTGAGTTATGTGGTGAAATGCAGCAGAATGTGTCTGGCTTAATTTGAGGCTGTGAGTGCCTGCTGTTGCCTGCTTGCAAGGTTTGTCTTGCAGAGAACGAGGTCTAGTTCTTGGGCCCCCGACATATGTTACGTAGTTTTCCTAGCTTGGTGACTTGTTTTGATAATGACTTACTTCTTTTAGTTATCAGTAGTTTTGGTGCAATTATTCTAATAGTTTGAATAATTGTTAGCTATTTGTTATTTTTTTTTTAGTACCCATCAATATCATTGGTCTACCCTAAATGTGGGTCCAACCTAGACATATTCTCTCTGTCTCTTCTTGGTCTCTGTTGGTTATTCTTTCTCTGTTCTCTCTGCATCTCTCCCCTTTCTCTCCCCCTCTCACCCTTCTCTCCCCCTCTCACCCTTCTCTCCTTCTCTCACCTTTCTTTCCTCGGAGTCTTTTACATTTAAATGCTTTTAAGACTATAGAGGGTTTGGCACTCTTGAAGGGAAACTTCCTTACATTGCTTTGCATCTTCAGGGTTTCAAGTTTATTTTCATTCTGTGTGATTTTTTAATGCTGCAACAGTCAGTCTTTTTTCTATTTTGTGTGTACTTCTTGAAATCTGTCATGTTGCGATTATGTCTCCTCGTGGCAACTCTCTGGACCATCTCAAGTTTCTTGTATTGTGTTTTACAAAATGTATTCCACCTTGGCTGTACATGATCAATGAATGTTTACACTTAAGCTAAATATCCTATTCTGAAGGACTTATCATGTAAGCTTCCAAAAGTCACACTCATATGCGTTAGTTTTAAGTAAACTCTCTATTTCGCCCCATTCTGCAAGTATACTTTAGTGCTAAAGATGGTCCTAAACTGAAGAAAACTCTTAATGAGTTTACCCCTGAAGGAGATAATACCTCTTGGTGTGTGTATATGTTGCTATTGTGTTATGTCCTTCCCCTCTGGTCCCATCCCAGACCTTCCCCTCTGGTCCCATCCCAGACCTTCCCCTCTGGTCCCATCCCAGACCTTCCCCTCTGGTCCCATCCCAGACCTTCCTGACCCAGACCTTCCCCTTCCATCCCAGACCTTCCCCTCTGGTCCCATTCCCCTCTGGTCCCATCCCAGATCCTTATCCTGACCCCTTCCAAGGGTTATATAGTCGTAATGGCTTGGCGCTTTTCGCTGATAATTTCCTTCCTCCCTTCACTCTCGTACTGTTTGTGTGGTTCTGGCAACACTGCCACAGGTGTGTGTGTTGGCTGCAGGTGTGTGTGCTCGGTGTTGTGCCGTCGGACACAAGTGCTCATCGATCGTGATTGAGAATGAGACGGACCTCATCACGTCCAAGGAGGATGAATTGGTTAACATCTTGGCCTTCCAAACATGACAAGTTACTCCTGCCTGGCCAGCTGTGGCCCGTGTCCCCTGTACACGGTTGCAAATCGCTCTCTCACACTACCCCCACCTGGGTGTGGGCGGGAACCTCACACTACCCCACACCTGGGTGTGGGCGGGAACCTCACACTACCCCACACCTGGGTGTGGACAGGAACCTCACACTACCCACACCTGGGTGTGGGGGTGTGGGCGGGAACCTCACACTACCCACACCTGGGTGTGGGCGGGAACCTCACACTACCCCACACCTGGGTGTGGACAGGAACCTCACACTACCCACACCTGGGTGTGGGCGGGAACCTCACACTACCCCACAACCTCACACTACCCCACACCTGGGTGTGGGCGGGAACCTCACACTACCCACACCTGGATGTGGGCAGGAACCTCACACTACCCACACCTGGGTGGGCGGGAACCTCACACTACCCACACCTGGGTGTGGGCGGGAACCTCACACTACCCACACCTGGGTGTGGGCGGGAACCTCACACTACCCACACCTGGGTGTGGGCGGGAACCTCACACTACCCACACCTGGGTGTGGGCGGGAACCTCACACTACCCCACACCTGGGTGTGGGCGGGAACCTCACACTACCCCACACCTGGGTGTGGGCGGGAACCTCACACTACCCACACCTGGGTGTGGGCGGGAACCTCACACTACCCCACACCTGGGTGTGGGCGGGAACCTCACACTACCCCACACCTGGGTGTGGGCGGGAACCTCACACTACCCACACCTGGGTGTGGGCGGGAACCTCACACTACCCACACCTGGGTGTGGGCGGGAACCTCACACTACCCACACCTGGGTGTGGGCGGGAACCTCACACTACCCCACACCTGGGTGTGGGCGGGAACCTCACACTACCCACACCTGGGTGTGGGCGGGAACCTCACACTACCCACACCTGGGTGTGGGCGGGAACCTCACACTACCCACACCTGGGTGTGGGCGGGAACCTCACACTACCCCACACCTGGGTGTGGGCGGGAACCTCACACTATTCACACCTGGGTGTGGGCGGGTATCTCGTGAAACATGGATTGTGGTAGTGGATGTGGCCTTCCAGACCTGAAGTCTGGTGGTACTAGTTGTGATACTTGAAGCCCATCATGGTTGATGGGCTTCAACTCACCCCATCAGCCCAACTCAGCCCAAGGTGGAAGTCCATCATGGTTGAGACGGTAGTGTGTGTGTCTGGAGCATTCAGGAATGAGAGTTCAATTAATACTCTCTCATAGATACCTCACAGTCTTGTAATTTTATTTCTTATGCACACACACACACATTTAGTAAATGGAATGTAAATAGGAATGCACTAATACTAAAATAATAAATACTTAATAGCAGTTAGTAAATTGAATGCACTAGGAAGTGATGTGGTGGAGGTATACACAGTTTCAAATGTAGATATGATAGAGCTCGAGAAACTCGGGAATCTGTTCACCAGTAGATTGACTGTTGAGAGGCGGGACCTTAGAGCCAAAGCTCAACCCCCGCAAACACAACTAGGTGAGGACATACAGGAGTAGACGTGTTCTGACTCCAGTTAGCAGGCTGAGAGCTTTCTCTTCCCCATAGCCTTATTCCACGTCTTAACATGATAAGCTTTATAAAGTAAGACTTATCATCTTAAGCCTTACTTTACTAATGTTCCCCGGAACACGACCAGCCAGTCGATTGACAACCATTTACTGCCGGATGAGAAGTCAAGATCTGGCGCTAAGTCAATCCACTTGCCAGGGTTCGAACCCAGAAGAAATTGCTGACGAGCGGCGGGGTAAATGTGCTCCCACGACGCCACAAAGATTTAATCCACCTGGTATTGTCAACATTCCTTAACTCACCGTAACCATAATAACTTACCAAACCTCTCTTAGGCCCAAAACAACATATGTTTTACTCACACCTGTATACGAATCAGCACGTTAACCGGTTACCAGATAAGTCAAATATTGATTTAATACCGTCTGCGACAGATTGAAGTAGTAGTGTCTGGTTGTGGAGGATGAGTGGCTAAACCTGACTTCTCCTGCAGGCCGGTGGTCGTGGTGGCCACCTTCTACATGCTGGGGGTCGTCACTCTGCTCCCCTGGAACTTCTTCATCAACGCAGAAACAGCAAGTCCACCCTACTTTATTTACCTGTCCCTGTCAAGGCCACTTGTGATGATAATAGGTAGAATAAGACAATATATTATGTAGAAATTATATTCCTGAAAATAAAACGAATGAATAGACGCACTGAGAAGTAAAACAAAAGAAAGGTTGGGGGGTCATGACGTTAAAACTATAATTGCAATGTTAATTTTCGTATAACCTGTTTATAAGTTTGAATAACCTGTTCATGCGGTTTATTTTTAAGGTAAGTGTGGAGGTGGTTACCCTGGCGGTGAACGCCACGTGTCTCTGAAGCGCAGACCACTCTGCTCAAACGAAAGTACTTATAATAACTATTTGGTGGGAAGAATCAATATATATACATTGTTGTGGGCCGTCGGAAAGTCGACTTTTGTTTCTACTGAAGTTGGACAAACTGGGTTTTGATTTTATTTTTTAACTATATTTTTTCTGGACTTGCTAATGTTAATAGAACATTTTTTTTTACTGGAGGTCAATCACTACTTACTGGTACTTTGGGTCAAATGGTTGCTGTAAGTACTAGCATTTTAGGAAGATAGATTGATGAATCATTAAGGTTCCAGCTCCACAGAGAGGTCGCAGTGCTTCTAAGAGGTCGCAGCGCCTCTGAGCAAGACGTCTGATGCATCTTTAACACGTTTCCAGTTGCCTCTTCAAACTTTCGGGGAAGTCTCTTGAATGGGACCATTACAGACGTCTTGTGGTTGACTGTGGCCTGTTAGACGACACTAAAATCACACACACACACATCTTCTGCCACCATCTTCACCACACACACACATCTCTGCCAACAATTCCTGCTCCTTGGTGTCCCACGAAGGCATAGTAGCTTAGCAAAGTTTGAATTCTGTGTATAAGAATGCATATGAGCCGCGGACGCGCGTGTGTGTGTGTGGCGACGTGCATCACACGTTAACATTGGGTGCATAGCGCTGTGTAAGGTTATGGGGTAAGTAGCGTTGGTTATGGGGTAAGTATGTTGGTTATGGGGTAAGTAGCGAGAGAATATGATTCAGAAGCGAGAGTTTTACAGAAAATATTAGACTCAATTTGTTTTTCAAGTGCGTCTCTCTCTTAATAGTGAGCTAGCGGCGGAAATTGACCATTTTAAGTCTTGCATGAAACTAATGTACAGACTAACACGAGAAAGACTGAGACACCTGCATAGAGAGAGCTGGACTTGGAGAGACGCGTGGAGAGTTACGCAGATTAGAAGAGAACTCACAATATTAAATAATTTAGGAGCATTTAGCGCAAGATTGAGGTCAGAGTTGCAGAGGAATATTCTACTGGATTATCTTTATTGCTTCACAAAACTTGTACAAAATGTGTTGATTTTGACGTATATTGTTCAGGTCGTTGAAGGTGTTTCATGCAGCTGGGTTATTTAGTGTTAAATTGTATCTTTAGGGTTAATAAACACAAATATAACCTGTTAACACAGCAAAAACTATTAACAAGTTAGTTAACAATATAATCAACAGGATACAAATTAAAAAAACATAGTTTGTTCCAGATTTTTCATAGACAAATTTTCTTTGGTCAAATATTTCATGATGTTGTGCAATTAATCCAACTGTCTTACCTGTTCTGAGTTCTGAGAGCATTTAAGCCTTCAGCGCTGAAGATGGATGCTTAATTCAACATTGAAATTAGATTGTCTGTATCATTTAATAGGATAATAATCCGTTTGGTTCCATCCTCAATCGCGTAATTACCGTGGGATACCAGCCATTGATCAGCTTCCTCAATTATACTTGTCAGCGCTTCAATTATCTTCGGTTCATTATTTGAATGAAAATAAGTTCATATTTGAGCTCTTTGGCTTCAGAAAACATGTACTTAGACACTAAAAAGATTTGAGTAGATGAAAGACATTATAAAATATTAAGTATGCACCGTATATGAAATATTAAAAATTTCAACACAAGTGCGTTTATGTTATGAAGTATTCTTGTGAGGACCTCAGGCAACAACCTCCCAAGTATATGACTTGTGTGAGGGACGTCCCTCACGTTCTTCACGTCCTTGACTAATACAACCTGTCCTCAACCTCTCCCTTCTCCCCCAGTACACCCCCCCCCCAACCTCTCCCTTCTCCCCCAGTACACTCCCCCAACCTCTCTCTTCTCCCACAGTACACCACCCCCAACCTCTCCCTTCTCCCCTGTACACCCCCCAACCTCTCCCTTCTCCCACAGTACTGGCAGTACAAGCTGAGGAATGTGAGTCTGGGAGAGGACTGGGAGAGTCCGGACGCGGACCTCACACCCCTCCAACTCTCCTTCACCCCCACCCTCGTCATCGTCTCCAATTCCTTCTGCACCATCTTCCTCATCGTCACCTCCGCCATCGTCAGGAGGTCAGTCCTATCCCAGCTTCTTGTTTTATGTCATAAAAATAAATGTTACCTCTAAAAAAGCCTGATGGTTCATGTACGTGAAACATTACAATGAGTTGCAGACGAGGAGTCACAATAACGTGGCTGAAGTATGTTGACCAGACCACACACTAGAAAGTGAAGGGACGACGACGTTTCGGTCCGTCCTGGACCATTCTCAAGTCGATTGAGGATGGTCCAGGTCCATATTATGGATTGAGAATGGTCCAGGTCTATATTATGGATTGAGAATGGTCCAGGTCCATATTATGGATTGAGAATGGTCCAGGTCCATATTATGGATTGAGAATGGTCCAGGTCCATATTTTGGATTGAGAAAGGTCCAGGTCCATATTATGGATTGAGGATGGTCCAGGTCCATATTATTGATTGAGAATGGTCCAGGTCCATATTATGGATTGAGGATGGTCCAGGTCTATATTATGGATGGAGAATGGTCCAGGTCTATATTATGGATGGAGAATGGTCCAGGTCCATATTATGGATTGAGAATGGTCCAGGTCTATATTATGGATTGAGAATGGTCCAGGTCCATATTATGGATGGAGAATGGTCCAGGTCCATATTATGGATGGAGAATGGTCCAGGTCCATATTATGGATGGAGAATGGTCCAGGTCCATATTATGGATGGAGAATGGTCCATATATACATTTTGCTTTAAAATTATATATGGTTGTGCAGTTACATATTTGTTAATTAATCACTCCAGTAAGTCGGTGTAACACTGCTAAACCTCTAAAAGATTATTGAGAAACAAATGTGCAGCGTTGCAAATCTTTGAATAGGTTATTAAGGGGAAGTGATTACATAGGTTGATACTGAGTAGTGAGGCCGCCAACAATGGCCTTATTGTGTCCCTGAGACAATGCCTTCCTCAGTCTTGTCACTAAATTGGCTACAGCAGTGATGTCCTCTATTGCAGCTCCTGTAGTGTGTGTGTGTGTGTGTGTGTGTGTGTGTGTGTGTGTGTGTGTGTGTGTGTGTGTGTGTGTGTACTCACCTAGTTGTACTCACCTAGTTGTGTCTGCAGGATCGAGCATTGACTCTTTGATCCCGCCTTTCGAGCATCGGTTGTTTACAGCAATGACTCCTGTCCCATTTCCCTATCATACCTGGTTTTAAAATTATGAATAGTATTTGCTTCCACAACCTGTTCCTGAAGTGCATTCCATTTTCCCACTACTCTGACGCACGCGCGCGCGCGTGTGTGTGTGTGTGTGTATTCACCTAGTTCTACTCACCTAGTTATGCTTGCGGGGGTTGAGCTCTGGCTCTTTGTGCCCACCTCTCAACTGTCAATCAACTTTTTTTTCCACACACACACACCCAGGAAGCAGCCCGTAGCAGCTGTCTAACTCCCAGGTACCTATTTAATGCTTGGTAAACAGGAACATCAAGGTAAAAGAAACTCTGCCCGTTTGTTTCCGCCTCCGCCGGAGATCGAACCCGGACCCTTAGGACTACGTATCCCGAGCGCTGTCCACTCAGCCGGCAGGCCCCCCTCCAAGCTGAAAGAGAAGACACCCATTAAATCTATCATTTCCTAGGCCTAGTACAGTACATATGCACTAAACTACCCAAACTAGAACTGCTTATTTTAGGACTAGTATAGGTCTAAGTTTGGCTTATAATGTATGTTTCACTTCTTGTTATTATTTGAATAGTACCATACGTGAACTGATTAAGGATTCAACAGTCCAGATTGTG